GAATATATGCCCCTATGGGTGCTCCACCTGGGATGTATGTGTGACCATTCGCTAACAATCACAGACTGCAAAGTAGTGCTTTCAGGCTCACGCCTGCAAGGAGTAACACCTCATGCTCTAAATAAGTGGATATAGGGATGCATGAGCCTACTGCCACTTAGGCTTTTCAGCTGCCTGTGGCTTGGGACAGAGTCTTCTTCAGTTAGCTGTATTCAGCTTCCCACCTTTCTTTCACCTCATGAAAGTTTTTAGTTTCTCAATTATGTACTTTACCTTTATTTTATTTTCACTATATTTCATTTAGCATGATTTTTGTGCTTCTGGAGTGGGGCTTCCCCCCCTACTCCTTGACCTTTGTGCCCGAGCACAATCTGCTTTGCCTAAGACCTCAGGGTTTAAGTCCTGCCAGACTTGCCATAGGTCTTTTCCCCACAGTGACGGACATTCAAGTTGCCTGTGGTGTTTGGGGGACTCCCACATCCCCTCAAAGTGTAAGGTCTATCTGGAGTTTAAAGGTAGGTCCAGAGAAGATAGGGACATTAGACTAAAACTCCTGTTAATGGAATGTGCTCTAGCTCTGGAAGGGTCCACTTCCCATCCTGTCCCTCCACCGGTACATCGGCCTCAACATCGCAGGCTGCTTCAGTCACCCATCTAACACTATCTGCACCCATGGAGACAAAGACGTTAAAGAGAAGAAGGCATTCCTCCCTACCAGAGAAACGATGAAAAGGGGTAGGTCACCCCATAAGACCCACTCTCGGGAGACCTCACATCCCTTAAAGGGTACCGTAGAGGCTCTGACTGAGTCTGGTACTGAGGCATTGGTGCCGTGTAAAGAGCCTTGTGTTGATAAGCCCTTTTCCAGAACGCCTACTGCAGCAGCACTACCTGATCCCTCATGGCATAAATCCCTCAGTACAGGTTTCTTACCCTAGCTCTGAAGTAAGACAGGACTCTGCATCCACCTCATACTGCAGTAGTCTCCATCTCACCAGTCCACAGTTCCACCTCCAGTACCAACCCAAGCCTCGACTATAAACTACTAGAGCCCTCTGGCTCCTTCCAGATTTTTGTCTTCTGAGGATCTCCTCATTTTGGATTAACCTGAATCTCCATTGCTACGGAGATTTATCAGAGCCTCTGCACTGGTACCATCCAGACACTTGCAAGCCAAAATCTGCCTAAGCCTTCAGCTGTCTTGCACCAGCCATGTTACTTGAGGCATCTCAATTTAGCTCCAAAGATGGTTTATTGGGCTCTGAGTTCTCGGTATGAGAATCCATTCCGCATCAGTCAACCAGTTCACTGCAATTTCCCCCTGCTTTGGAGATTGAATAGCCCACTGAAGTTCGTCCAATAAAGGTTTTTACCTCACCCACCTTGTTTCTCTTCAGGTGAGTCATCGTAGTTAACACTTCCATCCATGTTTTCTCTTTGCCTTCCTTATGAACGCTATTGTGTTTCCCTGGGCTACACGTAAGCTGCACTAACAAGAGGGCTGATTTAGCTATCTAAGAGGCAAAAACATTCTGGTTTTGTGTCCAGGCATAGAACATAGATCTGAGAAGATTCCCAAATAGGTAGCCACTGACCTAAGTCGTTATTTAACTTATCTGCACATTTTTAGTCTCCACCCAGTTCACTTCCTGTCTTTGAGAGACATCATGTGATCGTTCCTGATTTGCAGCACAATAAATGGCATTGACAGCATCAGTGTCTTTGGTGATGGAATACCAAACCACATGTAAAAATCAAGTTGGCCGCTCTCTTCTTCACAGAAATTAAACTCTTTCGAGAAGATCTGACGAAAGCCAATATGCAGCTTTCCGAGACCTGAAAATGCCCTCCAAACATCCCAGATCTGACCCCTTTGGCTGTAAGTGAACGTTCTTCTTTTGACCAGCACCACCCTACAGGGGCGGCGAGTTATAAGGGCCCATGGTGCCCCCATGCTCCAGCAAATTCAGGGCCTGGGGGCCTGGCTCCACCAACGTTCAAGGCTGGGTCTCTCCCCCAGCCCTGCCTGCCGCCCCTGCGTGCCTCCCCCAGAGTGTCCCCCCAGTCCCTCCTGCCACCCCTGTGTGTCTCCCCCGGAGTGTCCCTGCCTGCGCCCTGGGCAGCTGACAGCTGCCCTGCTGCTCCGTGCTGTACTCCCTTGCTGGCCCTAATCCAAACTCCTTATCCACAGCCCTGATCTGCCCCAGAGCCTACACCTCCAGCCAGAGCCCTCACACACACACCCTGCATCCCAACCCTCTGCCCCAGCCCTGAGCCCCCTCCTGCACAGTGAACCCCTCATCCACGACCCCACGCCACAGCCCTCTCCCATGCACCCCAATCCTCTGACCTAACCCTGAGCCCCTCCCATACACCCAACCCCCCTCATCCCCAGCCAGAGCCCTCATTCCGCCTGCGCGCGCACACACACACACACGTGCAGTATAGGGAAACTGTTAAACACTTACTGTTTCCAGTCCATTTTTACATTTTAAAAAATATAGGCTTACAAGGCAGGTGGGGGGAGAGGGGGCTGGACTTGGACCCATTCTGGGCACTACCAAAAATTATACAAACCTGCCACCCCCGCCAACCTATCTGATCTCTTCATTTTATCATAGGAATTTCTTTTGTCCCAGAAGGTCTCTTTCTCTTCCTTCCAGACATTCAATCCAAGAGGAATTAGAGAGGATGATGATGGGCGATCACTCGTTACCAAGTATGGTCATCTTCCATGGGAGTTACGGGTCCTCAGGTGGCCACTCCTTGAACCACAAGTTCTGTTACAATGAGGGCAGATGTTTTCAGGCTCAGCAGGAGGCTGTTGACCATGACTGGAGACCTGTCTCTCCTTTCTCTCCTCCTTAGAGAGGATATGTTTTGTGGGGCATGAGGAAGGAATTTGGGGACAGTGTCATCTCCCTTTTCCTTTTATTCACTTGATTCTGTGAAAACTCTAATGGAAGTAAACAAAAATGAGTTTCTGAAGTGATTGTTGTTCTCAACCTGTAGACCTAACTGTAGGACAGTTTTGCATGCATCCAGAGTGGCTGGATCTGTCCATCAGAGTCCCTTTTGCCAATTCTGACAGCCTCAAACTGTCTGAATTGGCAAAAGAGGCTGAACATGTCTGAGAGTGGGATGCACCAGGGCGGTTGTGACCTGTTTTGAGTAATGTTGGAAGCTATCGACTTAAAAAACTCGCAATCAGATTTGGATTGTTTTTTTTTTAATGTTTTCCAAGAGGACTACAGGAGGACATTGTTACACTTCAGCACATTTTAAAATCTCTATGGGTTGGCTTTAATGAGAACCTCCAAGTGAGCCCCTAGAGGGTCCCAGGACTCTTTTAGCATAGCTGTACTGGCTCCCTCAGGATCTGTGAGGTAGGATCTCAGAGCTTGTTACTTAGGTAAAAAGCAACAGAGGGTCCTGTGGCACCTTTAAGACTAACAGAAGTATTGGGAGCATAAGCTTTCGTGGGTAAAAACCTCTCTTCGGTTCTTCCCGACGAAAGCTT